GCATTTAGAAAGTAGAACTTTTTCAACTTAACTTTTTAAAGTGTTCCGGAAATACTGACACTTTAATATATACCTTAAATTAAAGCTTATGTAATATACTTTATTATAAAAAAAAAATGTTGGACTTTTTTGTCTTCTCGGTGACAATGGCTACCGTATTCTATTTTTGTGTTAAAATTCTCGATTTTATATTTTACGTTTTCAACTTAAAAAGGCTATAACTTTTTGAAAAATGTATCAATACAATTTTTTATGAGAAGTAGTATTTATATACCTCTTTCATTTGACATATTTTTTTTTTAAATAAAACAATTACCCTTTATATATTTATATATTATAAATTATTATTTATTATTATATAAATAATATTATTATATAATTATTAATTATTATTATATTTTTTCTTTTAATTATATCTTAAAATCATTGTAAATATATTTTATTTTTTTAATAATAAAATTTATTTTAGTTTTGTTTTTTCCTATCTAGTAAGTTAATTTGTCATGAAAAATATAAATATATTGATTTTTTTCAATATTATAAATATATATATATATATACGTCTTTTTGTAACTGGTTGACTCATATATCATATTTCAGTTTATTAATTAATTTTTTTCGTATTTAATTTGTAGTATAAATCCTTAATTTGTTTAATGTTGTGCAGAGAATATTTAAATATCTAACCCAACCAACTAGTAGCAGGTAAAATATGAAAAAAAAATCCTTTTCCTGTTCATTAAAATCCAGCATTTTTTATTTTTATTTTTTTAATCTTGACAATACACTAGACCGTTGGTGTACAATTCAGTCAAAACAATGTCCGCTTTAAACAAATACAATAGTAAGAGGAGAAAATTATAGTATTTGTTTATATTTTCTTGGGTTCTATGAATTTTTATAGAGCAATCAACTAAATCCTTAACACTATTTTCGGGCTAACCGTATTAGTTTTTTTTTTTTAAACTCACCTTTACAAAATAAAAATTTAATATATTATGATAGGTATGTACAGTGCAGCGTCTAATGGCATATTGTTTCTATGGAGCCGCCGCGTATTTGTCTGTCCCCACCTCATGTCTCAACGTGCCTAGTGTTTTTTAAGTTAACCGTGATGGTGTCGGACAACCGACCACATATGGCTATATTATTATTACGTGTAATGTACCTCAAACTATAAGCGTTATAATTTCTTTACCTATCGAGCAGGTGGGAGTGAAATAATTTGGCCGATCGTACCCACCCGCCGTAATAACTTATACTTCATATTGATTTCATTGGCTGGTCGATCAGTCGACGGACAGATTCCATTATTCTTATTAGTTTTATTCTTAAGTTGTATTATTAGTTAAAATTTAAAATCAGCTATTCGCCGCCTTGTAAAAACTGTTAAAAAAAATTGTTGTCATTTGTTGTCGTGAGATATTTTTTATTAGCGCCTTGTTGTTTCTTTGATTAGCATTGTTTTGAGTGAGACGATGCTACCGTGACAGTGACAAATAGTTTTCTTCGGCTCGTTAACAAACAAACTGTTGTATATTATTTTACATTGTGTTTACTTACACTTACGAACAGAATACGTCCTAGTAGTTTCAACCGTTTTTGGTTGTGTAAAAATCTTAACAATAATAACGGAGAACATTGGTGTTTAATATTTTATATGAATAATCTGAATAACCAGAATGGAAAAAATATTTTATTAAAGAAATAACTAAATGCGATAACATTCTCATGTTTACCAAGTGTTCAGTAAGTAAGGAAACAGGTCAGTTGTTACAAACAATGAGAACAATAAAACCGTTTCGTTACTTACTGAACACCTATATAATCTCACATTTGTGTGCCTAAATAAATATACGTTCTACTAGATTTGTATTGCTCAACTATAATTTAAAAGATCATAAATTTTATCTAGTTATTATTCTTAATATTTAAAAGTAAGCATTCGTTTATATCCAAAAATATTACATTAGCTTTGGTATGATCTATTTTTAAAAGACTGTAATTTGCAGGACAATTTTATATCACATATAAAATAAAATAAAAAACTCATCAATGGATTACATCATTACAATTAAGCCTGGAGAAGTTTTTTGTGATAACAATCACTAACCCGAATTACTTCACTAGAGCAACTGCAGACATTTATTATAAAATAATTGGATAACTTACTTAAAACTACTTGAATACAAATACACTTACCTGCTTTTATATAAAACGACAGCTCGAGATAGATAATCTTTGCTTGAATTTGTCACGCTTACAAGCATTTAATTAAACACTTCCAATAATATTTAAACATGAAATTTGATAAAATGTATGTATACGGGTATTTTATTTGATAAATAATACATTTAACAATTATAAAATTGAAATTCCCAAAATATTAAATTCGCATATTTCTTCGCTTAAAAACTTCGTTGGTCCACGAAATATTACAATATTTGCTCCGTGGAAATTATATCTCCCATGGAATTTAAGTATTATTATGTTACACAGAAGAAAAAAGTTTTTCGTAAAGACTTTGATTAAATTTCAAAAAATATTAATATTAAATTAATTAAGATAATGTCAAAAATACAAAAATAAACGTAAAATTAATTGTTTTTTTATAATTAATATTTTATTTTACATCGTCTATTTAAAGCTTATGACAAAAGGTCGAAAAAACATGTAAATTACCGCAACAAATTCCCTACTCATCTCTGTGATCTTAGTGGTAGGGGTTACGGAGGGATGGTATACTTCTGCTTTTTTTGAATTTACACTTGATTTGTCCAAAATTATAAATCCCCTTAATATTGTATAAATATTAATATTAATATAAATGTGCATTAAGGTTATCGATTTTCTATCATAAATTATTATTTTATTTTTCTGTAATTATTTTAATTAAATATCCCAGTGGTTAGGGGATAAGAATACTTCCATGGCCCCTCTACCAGTCGTAAGAACGACTAATGAGGTTGCGTCAGTTCGATAGCCGGTTTAAAATTTTTATTAAAAAGTATGAAGAGTCCTGAGCAAAACTTAGGAGGATTTTCCCATCTCAGATGTACGCGGAGACAACATGTGAGAGGAAATAAAGTAGTTAGAAACAGAGAAGAATGAAGTGTTTTACTAGTCGAACAACTTGTGCGGTAGCTGATTCACCAGTCATGTGTACACATCTACCCAACGCATGTAGTGTTTGCGGTGTAGGGACATCGTCACTCAACTCTTGGATGGACTTTTGCATAAGGGGGAAAGATAGATCCAAAGTAAGAATAGTGGAATGTTGGAACATTAACTGGTAGAAGTAGAAAATTCGTAGAAGTATTGAAGAGGAGAAAAGTTAACATTTGTTGTGTACAGAAAACTAAGTGGAAGGGAAAGAAAGCAAGGGAAATAAGTGAGGGTTATAAAATAATATACTCGGGTAAGTCTAATACAAGAATGGTGTAGGTATAATAATGGATGAGGAGATGAAAAGTAAAGTAGTAGAAGTAGCTAAGAAAAGTGAAATAATTTTAGTTGTAAGCCAAATTTTCGATGAAAAAGTGTTAAATGTAATAAGTGTCTATTCACCACAAGTAAGATGTGATGAATTAAACAAAGAAGTGTTTTGGAGAGAGATGGATGAGATGATGCAAGAAATATATAAGAAATTATGCAATTAATGAAGATGTGTGGATAGGTGGAGATATGAATGGACATGTAGTAATGAGAGGAGAGGATATAAAAGAGTACATGGAGGGTATGATTTCAGTGGGAGAATGGGGCTAGAGAAGGAATCCTGGATTTTGAAGTATCGTATAATATTGCTGTGGTTAATACTTATTTTAGAAAGAGAGGAGAACATTATATAACTTATAAGAGTGGGAGTAATAGATCACAGATTATTTTATGTGGAAGAGAGAGAACGTAAAGTAAAGTATTATAAAGTTATCCCAGGCGAGAGTGTAACTTCACAACATAGATTGATAATAATAGAGTTGTGTAGTGGGAAAAGAATATACAAAAACAAAAAACGTACAGGAGGAGAATCAAGGACTCGGTGTGGAATGTCAAGGGAGACATAAATGATGTGTGGAATAAATTTGCTAGTTGTGTAATGTATAATACAAAGAAGATTGTTGGTGAGAGTAGAGTAAAATGCCAGGAAACAAGGAAACCTGATGGTGGGATGAGGACGTTAAAGAAATCATAGAAAGTAAGAAAAAGCAATTCAAAGTATGGTAGAAGGCATCGTTTTAAGGACAAGAAAACCCGGAAATGGTTTGTAATGTAAAATTAATTTAAAACTTATTTTACCCAGCAAATTATAAATGATAGGATAACTATAATTGGTTACTACCATATGGTCTAGTTATTGATTACTTATTATAACGACTGTATAAAATCAATAAAATTAATGTTTAGTTTGATAATCATACCTTATATATAACAACAAATTGTCACATATTTTGGATTTAAAGGGATTATTCAAAATTATGTTTAACAAAAGATATTATATAACATAAAAATATCCTCTCCTGCACCAAAACAAAACCTGTTTCTATAATAGAAAATAGAAAATTATAAAAAATTTAATATTGAATCCTTATTAGCTTTTAATTCTGGATCTGTTCTTACAAAGAAAAATATCTGGTGTAAAATAAAGAAAAATATATATATATTATAAACTAATTTTTTAAATAATAAATTGTTTATTTAAATATTTTTCAAGTTTATACTGGTTAGAATATTTATGAACATAAAAATTGACAAGATAAATTAAAATTTTTGAAAAATGTCTGCATTAATAATACATAAGGTAACTAGTAGTTAATAACTAATATCAAAATCGATTACAAAATCAAAACGTTAAGTCTATTATTTTGCTATTAAAATTATTTAAAATATATACTAATGCAATATCAAGCTAAAAAACTTTAATGCTATTCAATAAATTCTAAGATTTTTTAATTTTTATTCTATATAAAAATTAAGGGTAAAAAAAAACTTATAAATAAAAAGAGTTGAAAAAAATTAATTCTTTAATTTTATAATATCTTCTTAATATACATAATCATTGATTAAATATATTATTGATTTTCTTCACTTTCAATGACAAGATTTTATTAATAGTAAATTTATAAATAAATATACAAGGTAATTAATGCATTAAAGCTAAAATTATGCAATTTTATATATACTTCATTTTTCAATCACATTACATGTATTTTTATTTCAACGCAAAATTAGCAAATTTAAATTTAAAAAATAATTTAAGATTCATAAATAAATTTGTAATATTCAAGTAATAGAAGGAATGAAAAAATAGAAATAGCAATTTTATCTAGACTTCTAAGTTATTATTTTCTTGCAGCTGATTTGGCCAATGCGATACCTAGTCCAATTACAGCACCGACACCTAATGCTACTCCTCCTGCAATGGCCATTCCTTTGTGAGCATCTGAAATAAAAGTATTAAAACTTAAAAAAACAAAGAGATATTTAATATATAAAAACTCTCACCAGCTTCCATTTTCTTTTTTATCATCATCATCAAGCTTTGAGCTTGCATATTTTCAGGCTGCATATGCAAGAAAGCTTTTATGAATTGAAGAGCAGTACTGTACTCCTAAAATAAAAGTATGCTTTTATGATATTTAACACTTTACTATTTAATTTTTTAACATAACATAATTTGAAATGTTTAATTTAGTTCAATTATATAATATTTTGTGTGCCACACATATTCAATTAAATTTTTGTTTTAATATTAAAAAATCATAATTGTTTACATAATGAACGAACTTTATATGAGTTACAGGTTCATATTCAAAAGCTGATATGTTACAAAACTAGGTTTTAAGATTTTTTTATAATTTAATTAGAGGAAAATTTTATCTATCATCTTCCAATAAATTATTAATCAATTCTTTGGGAAGACTTGTGTTTTGTACTTTAAAAATATCAAATTTCAAAAATATACCATTGAAATTTTTAATTTGTGTTTGTTTTCCTGTAAAATTGCTAAATATGATTTAACAGTTTTTAGAAGAAACCACAGTTATACTATAAATACACTAAGTGACGAAAAAAAAAATGTGATATAAAATTTTATAGACAGATCTACTACTAGTATGTGAAAACTGCAACCAAAACATTTCCATTAATCACATCATCCAAGATTACCACAAATACTGTCCAGAGAAGCTTACACAAAATTCTACCTACATGGAAAGCAGCTCTCAAGGAAATAAATAAAAATATGATATCAATCATTTTTCAATTAATTAAGTGGTTCAAAAATACAGAATCACACAGTACATTATCTTTAATTAATTAAATTTAAATATTTAATTAAAAGGGTGAAATTTACTTTCAATCCTCCTTTTGGCTACGTTTCTGATTTTAATAACACACATTTAACCTCATTAAATCAATGAAAATTTTATTTTTGTACATGATAATTTAATTACTTTAATTCTAGAGTTTCCTAGCGCTAAATAATACAAGTAATTTCTTTTGGCATCTTCATCATTAGCTTCATGTTTGATTAATTGTTCCAATAAAATCAAACCTTTTCTTATATCTGCTGGATAATTACTTCTAACTAGACACCAAGCATAATGAAATTTAGTGTGTTGTGATACAGTTCCAGTTGATAATTGTTGATAATATTCATTTTCAAATTTCTACAAATTATAACAAATGCATAATTTTAGTTAACAAAAATGAAGTTCATTTTTATAATTATAAGAATAATCAGGATGATTAGTTTAAATAAACCATTCGTTTACTCTCAAAATAAATACAATATAGGAAAAATTTTTGGATTGAATTGACTGGTCGATTAAAACTTTTGGGTCAGTACTTTGGAAATTATTCTCATTTTTATATATAGACGAAAGGAAAAATAACAGCATCCACTTCTCACCTCCAATCATTAATAAAAAATCCTAATAACTTCTGAAATAGTGGTTTTTAAGTTGTTATTGACCAGTCATTTTTTATTTTATAAACTAGTTAGATATGTATGTGGCCAATTAAAAAAATAATGTTGACATCTTTAAAAATTATACAGTATGATGAAGTAAATATTAGCTGATTAATTAAGAAATATATGTAGCTAAATAAAAGAACATTTTTTTTCCTAATATTATATTTATTTTTTATGAAATTCAATAACTTCAACAGCAATTAATCCATATAATCTGACTTTTTAAGAAACTTTGATAAGTCATCCTCAATAAACTAAATTAATTACTTTCTTTCAAGTAATAATTTTTATTCCACAAATATTTTATTACCTTTAAATCATCATTCGAGACAACATCATCCATAATATTTTCACCTTCCATTTCGTAAAATAAATTTGACCTTTTTAGCAATTCAAATAACAGTTAAAATTTATCAAAAGTCTTAAAAATAAAATATTTACATGTATATATATTGTTAACTGAATGTCAAAATCAAATTAATAGATTAAAAAAAAATCACATACGTTTAGCAACGTTCATTAATAATGCATCACAGATAAGATAAAACTAAATTAATAAGTTATTAGATAACTAATAAATTTTATCTCATCTGTGATTGTATGTCTTTGTATGAACATTAAAACTATTTAGTATTTTTAAAAACACTGTGATATGACGCATTATAAAATAACAGCTGATTATAAATATATAAACAAATAATATAGCCGATTAAATGCATTAGTATACTTGTCTATGGTTAAATGTAAACAGCTAGTACGTTATAAATTGTATATTTTTATCTTATGTAAATAATTAAATACCTATTAAATGACCAAGATCGTTATTGGCATATAACAGTAATTTAAACTTTGGTAACTCCTTTCCAAAAGTTTTCAAAATTAATTTTTATATCTTATATCCTTATATTTGGAAATCTTATATCGAAATATTCTTATACGTACTATTATTATTATAATGTATACAAAATTAATATTTTCAACTTGAAAAAAGAGGCGTAGCCAGGATTTTCGCATGAGGGGGCTAAATTTTATAAAGTGTAGAAGACGATAGTAAATGTGTAAATTGAAATGTTGATGTGTGATAGTAAATATTGATAGCATATTAACGTTGATTTACCGTTAACGTATTTACTATTTCAAATATATAAAATTTGTTATACAATTTTCATATTTTAATTTAAATATTTCAAAAGAATAAGAAAAATACAGCCAATGGGGGGGGGGGTAGAGCCCCGTTAGCCCCCCCTTGGCTATGCCACAGTATATTATATATACTTGAAAATTTTAAGTATATATAATATACCATTTTCTACTATACTTTTTAAAACAACTTGTCAGAGATTAAATTTGTGACTAATTATTTTCTTATGGTCATATTATTTATCTTACTAGATAAGATGGATGTCTACAACATTATTAGTGATTATTTTTGATAAATGATAACATATTTTAAGTTATTGAAATTAATGTATTACGACATTTTTTGAATAACAGTTAATGTAAAAATCTTTGCAGATAAAGCTTAAATATAAAATACAATCTAACAAAGTTTATCTCACTGTATGAAACACTTTTAATTTTATAAACCAATAATGAATGTAAATTCAAGCAACGTTGGTTTACTGGATTCTACAAAACACGAAACCGATGTTGAAACCAAAATTATAGATAATAATCAACAAAAAGAAATCACCATTCAAGAACTGATCGAAATGGGATTTCCTAAAACAGATGTTATTAAAGTAAATATTTAAATATATTTGCCAACTTAATTTAAGATAAAATGCAATTTTTAGTTAGTAGAAGCTGCTGGAAATATCTCAAAAGACTTGATCATAGAACAATTGTTATTACACACAAATTCTATGCCTAGTGATTCTATACCTGTTGTAGATGACGACGGTGATATTTTATGGGAAGATGTAGAAATACCCTACAAAATGGTGATTGTAATTAATGTCGGTCTTAAAATGAGTATAGGGAAAATTGCCTCTCAGGTAAAAATTTTTAAGTCACATTTAAATTATATAATTTTCTTTTTACATATATTTTTTATTAAAGGCTGCACATGCAGCATTAGGTTTGTATGAAATTATTAAAGGAAATAAAAATCTTAAACATGATTTTCAAATTTGGGATGAACAAGGGTAAGATATTATTTTTTATTGTCTAATAATATTTAAAATTATATATTCTGTTTTTTTGGTATAATATTAGTAAATCATACAGCGCTCAGTGGAATGTAATTAAATCCAAATATATGCTTACTAAAGCTTTGTCTTCATGAACCTAATTTTTGAGGTCTAGATTAGCATAACATTTACTTAAAATGTCTAGCTCAATGAATGGTTGATAAATTTTGGTTCTTTCAATTCTAGGCCATTAATTGAAAAAAATATGTTTAATTAGTTGTTTAAATCACAAAAAGTTTTTCTCACTACTGACATTAACATCGATATCAACATGCTTCTCATTTTTGTTTGTTTAATATTTAATTATTATCCAATTTTTTTGTCCATGTTGTATTGATAGTGAAATATTATTCAAAGAATATAACTTAAAATTAATCAAAACAGGTTTTATTTTTGGTGAAAATTTCATAGTTTTTACAACATTTTAAAATATTTTTTAATTTTAAATTTTGAGAAAAATTCAATTCATACTACAATGTTTTAAATTAAAAAATGAACCCTAGACATGGTACATTTACTGTCAAATATTCTGAACACCTAATTCTCTTTAACTTGTAGCTTATTATTGGTCTGGCCCAAAAATTCTACTTAATGTCCATCCTTGTCCCAATTTTGTGTTATACATTTTTTACCCAATGAAGATTTGTTTGCATATTTGTGTGCATTGTAATGTCTAATATTATTATGCACAGTAATTAACTGATAAATTTTCTTAGGGATTTATAATCGGTAATAAACTAACTAGACTAATTTATCTAAACCAATGCTTTATTTTAAAAATTTTAAGTTTTTTTTTCAGAAGTAGAAAAATTGTATTAGAAGCCAAAAACACTTCAGAACTCATTAAACTATGCAATGCTGGAAAATTACATTGTGTACCATATTATTGTGTTCATGATGCCGGTCTTACAGAAATAGCAAGCAATTCATTCACTGCTCTAGCATTTTTTGGAAGTAATGTGCAGTTAAAACCTATCACTGGAAAGCTTAAATTACTAAAATGAATATGATTTGTAAAATTAAATATATATTTTATTTATTTATCACTCAATAAAATGCTGATAAACTTCAAAATTATCTCATATTGAGAAAAATAAAATGTGATCATTTTTACCACTACAAAAAAAATATTTACTCTAAACAAATATCAATTTAGTTAGATTAAAATAAAAAAAACCCAGCACAGGTGGATCGCGGCACAGTGGTGACGTGGCATAGTTGGATCAAGTATAATGATATCTGACAGTGATTAAAATCACTATCTAAAATAAACGCTTCGATGCAAATCTTTAGATAGTGTTTAATTTTAAAAAAATTGGTGTTTTATTCCAAAAGCTACTTGATCTGCTGGTTCCTTATTAATATCCTGATTAAGGTAAAGTATGTCGAATGAAAAAGGGTTTATTAAAAAATATTATTTGTCATAAAAAAATTGTGTGGATCCATAAACTTTTCAATAAGTTATAGCATTATAAAGTTAAATATAATATAAATAATAAAATCGAGAATTTTCACACGAAAAAAGCATTCGGTAGCCATTTTCGCCATGAAGACAAGTCCAGAGGTCAAATTTTTTTTTTTCAAATTAAAGTACATTACATTAGCTTTAATTTAAGATATATATAAAAGTGTCAGACCTTCCGGAACATTTTCAAAAGTTAAGTTGAAAAAGTTAATTTTTTGTGAAAAAGTTGTCATTTTAAATCCCCCCCTGTGGGCAGGTTAAGTGTCAGATTTACAAAAAAAATATACCAAATGATAGGTAAAGACATCAAGCATCTATATAAAAAAAAATTATATTGATATGTTCATTTTTGAAAAAGTTACGGCAGTTTTTAGTAAAAAAAATTGAAAAAATTTCGAAAATTAGCGATTTTTAAATTTGTAATTTTTTTGGAGGTTTCCCCCATTTACGGGGAACGAGGGAAATTTTTTCAATTTTGAAGGGTAATGTCTTCGACTAGATACGATTTGTGATCTTTTGACGTATCGTTGAAAGAAATCGGTTCGGTGAGAGCTGAGAAAAAGTGGTAACAGACACAAAAAAAAAAAAAAAAAAAAAAAAAAAAAAACATCATAGTAAAACCAATACCTTCTCAGCTTCGCATCGAAGCTAAAAGGACTTTTAATAATAAACATATATTAAAAAAAAAAAAATACAGTACAGTTTTTCCCAGCATTGCAAAAACCTTTATTCAGGGCCAGATTTAGAGAAGGAATCTCAAAAAACAAAGCCCCTACATGTATCAGTATCTCATTTTTTTATTATTATTATTTAATACTAAAATCTATAAAATTGAATAAATTGTAAAAAAATTGTGTGATTGTACACAAGTAATAATGAATATTTTAGCTAGTCCTTATATGTTGAAACATATTATAATTTTTAACAAAACAATTTATCTATTTGTTAGTTCTATGGATAAAGTTCTCCTCTGTGTTGACTATTCAGAGATAAAATAAAATCTATGAATATAAAGCAGTTTTAAATAGATTGTTGAAGTTTTGATATTAATTTTTCAATAGTTACTTTATTATACATTGACCAAGATATATCTTATATTTACATTTACATAATTGTATTTCAACAGCATAAATATGAATGTATTAATCTTTTTGCATACTAATGATTTAAGAGACATGTGAGAATCAGGCTTTGTATAATTTTAAACATATATTAATGTTATTTTTAAGTATTCATTCTAATAAAAATATCAAATACATTTTTCTCGAAAAATTACAAAAGCGACCACATTGTCTTTAAATTTTATATCGGACTAATGTTTACTATTCTTTTTTATTTTATTGAAATATAGTCAATTGTGCATTTCATCATTGAAATCTAGTAATTATTTACTATACAATTTATGTTAAAATATATATATATATATATATCAACTATGGCAGTTTTCAATATTTATCGAAAACTGAATATTTAATTATAATTAAATATGCACCTATGATATTTATAATGATATCACTTAACACATTGTGAATTCATGTCATCATCAATTTTTTAATTTCTATTCTACGTTTAAGACTATACCTTATAATTACTTAAGACGTTTAGGTACCGATCTTTTTTCAGGGATCAAATACAGGCAATTTTTCAGTTATCCCATGTTATGCAGTGTCGTTGTTGAAAAGTAAATGATTATTAGTAATTTTATAGTCGATAACAAAATCGGTTGTGTACCTGCCTATCTTATTGATGCAATACGATTATATTGATCTAATAACAATGCATGTTTATTTTATATAGTATAAAATCCATAGCTTATCGCCAGCCCCACAGTAAATACTAGTAGACGCCTCCTTATTTCACAAATTTTAATTGGCTATCAAAATAATTAAATTATTTATTTTCGACGAGTATGAAAAACTAAATATTTACGGATTATGCGCTCTGAGTGACTGTGGTAAAAAATCATTATAAATACTATCATCTCCAATTTTTATAAAAAAAAAAATGTTTTTAATGAATTATTTTTAACCTTGCCCTTGTTTAAAAACTTTTTATCAAGAAAAAAATACTCGCTCATTTATTAATTACATCTCATTATTTGTTTGAGATATGTCTAGTAAAATTTTGGTTTGATAATTGGAAGCATTCTACCAAAATAATATATATATATTTTAGCTTCGAAGTTGAGAAGAAATTAATTTTATTGTTTTTTTTTTGTCTTTCGCCACTTCGTATCAAGTTGAAGACATTCCCCTTAGATTTGAAAAAATTTCCTCGTTCCCTGTAAATGGAGGAAATCCCCCAAAAAATTACAATTTTTAAGTACAGTAAATTTTGACATTTTTTTTTTTTTTAATTGCCATAACTTTTTGTAAAATGAACATACCAAAATAGTTTTTTTATATAGAAACCTTAGGTATACCCCTTTCATCCGACATACTTGTTTTTTAACTCAGACAATTTACCCTTATACAAGGAGCGTTCAAAACTTGAAAAATACATATAAAAAATAGAACTTTTGAAAATTTTCCGGAAATATTGCGTCCTTCAAAAATATGTTAAATTAAAGTTTATGTTATGTGCTATAAATTAAAAAAAACAAAATTTGTTCCAACGACTTATCTTCTATGTGCAAATAATGACAGTCAATGTTGAACAAAAAATAGAAGTTAATTTTGCTTTTGGAATAATTCACCACTTTCTTAAAATTAAACACTACAGATTTGCATCGAAGCGTGTCTTATGATAGTGTTTTTAAGCACTGTCAGATAATATCTACACTTGTCCTAACTATCCCGCAACTCCACTGTGCTACTGTTTTTTTTTAATTTAAAAATCGACAAGCATTTATTACATAAAATAATTAGTTAATCACAATATTCCGATAAATTTATTAGCATTATTAAAAATATAATTTAGTACATTACAGTACATCTATATTTATTCCAACTATGTCATGTCCATACTGTGCTACCGTTTTTTATGTGTGGCTGAAGTGGTATTTTGATTTTACAGTAATGTGTTTTTTTTTTACACATTTTTTCTATTAATAAGAACTTTTAATTTTCAGTCGACTGTGAACCTAAATCATTTATTTTTTTTATATCACTTTGATCTCTGGTATTTTAAGCACCTCGTACTATACTAAATATAGGTTATATCTCATCATCGCTCATATCTTACCAGCTTTTTTGAAAAATTATCTACTTCTTTTATTGGATTTTGTTTAAAATTCACTTTTATAATTAATATGAGAGATTTATTTGATGATCAAGTAATTTACAAATGTGTTGAAATATAAAGCTCATAATAGAAGTAACTTAGCGTTAGTTTTAGGTTGAAAGCATAGTGTGCAGCTGAGAAAAAACGTTATTATGTCAGATTTAAAGGGAAATTATTAAAATATAATGCTGAATACATCAATAAAATGTATTTTTTGATCTTTTGGCGTATCGTTGAACAATTACAGTCTAGAAGGTACTGATATGAATAGACACAAGCAGAAAACACATCATAGTAAAACTTATACTTTCTTTTTTATGGAAGCTAAGAAAGGGTATGAAAATTATTTTTATATACACGTACCTCACCACGTATTTTTTTTGACGCCACTTATTTAGTGTTAATACATTACCTATATTTTTTTTTTTTAATGGCGGTACTGTTTTATGATTTCCCATTTCTTTAGCGACACTTATATAAAAAAATAACAACAAAATTTGACTCGTACTATACAAGGATAGCTTTATCGGTCATTAGATTAAAGAAAAAAATCATTAACATCATTTATACAGATTTATTATCAGGCATGTATTAATGTGTAACTATTTTTGGCAGTCGGTATTGCCCAACGCAACTCTATAGGCAATAAAATAGTTGCAGTGGATAACACACAAACGCGCACGAGCATGTCAGATATAACAGCTACTGTTTGAAAACTATTAGTTTGAACATACAAAACTACCCGTTTTTGTTCCATCAGTACGATAAAACTACTAATGCGATAACAATTCTGAAAACAAATCTGAATTCAGCATCATATTACTTAAATATCGGTCAGGCTTTTTTTTTTGAAATTTTGATGTTTTTAACTCGTAATTACAGTTTACATTTTTGAAAATTTTATATTCTTTAAAATTAATGAGCGTAGATGATGTGGGATATCGTGTCAAGTGGAAGTTTAGGATAAGGGTGGCTGACCCCAAATTGGGATTAAGGCGAGGAGGAAGAAGATTTTCTTTAAAATTAATAAATTTGCGTTGAAGGAATCACAATTAAGTAATATGATGCTGAATTCAGAATTCTTATCGCATCAGTAGTGTCGTGGTGCTAATGAACAAAAACGGGTTGTTTTTGATTAAAAAGCGGTCGGTACCAGTGGCGCAACTACGGGGGTGCTAGGGGGTGCTGTAGCACCCCCAACTTTACTTTAAGCACCCCAAAGTCCCACGTCTTTGTAATTTCAAATATTTATTTATATTCTCAATACGGCACATGACCAAATTTCAGTATAATAAACTTAACTTATATGTACAATAATAATATAAAATACAACAATTAATAATATAATAAAGCTGATGGGTCCTTATTAGCAATACTCATCATTCTATAAAATGGCTAGTTTTTTAAGTAGTTGGTATTACATTTAGGTACAGAAAAAAGAATTAAATGACGTGCGTGAAAAGATGGAACTTTAAATTTGATGAGCTCTAATAGTTCAGGAGAGTCTATATGACCATCAATAAGACGCCTGAGGAAAGTTAGATTAGCTTCAAGTCTCCTGTCATTTAACGTAAACAAACCGATTAGTTGCATTTTTGGTGTATAGTCATGTGGTGGATGATCAATTTTTAATTTATATGCCGTAAAGTTTAAAAATTTACGTTGCACTCGTTTAACTTGCATCATATCACATGAAGTAACTGGATCCCAAACAATCAAACCATATTCTAAAATTAACCTCACAAAAGAACAATACAAAGTTTTTAAAGAAGATACTAATTTAAAATCATTACAAATTCGCCTAATATAACCTAATGGCGTAAATGCTTTGCAACACATTTTGTCTAGGTGAGCATGAAAATTCAATTCCCGATCGAAAACAATACCCAAATCAGTAATCATATTGCACGAAGATAACAATATATTATCATTAACCCTATACAAGTAATTAATATGATCACGAGTTCTATAAAACGATATTTTTAAATATTCAGCTCCAACCCACTATTTTTAGATCAATTTACCAGAGAATTAAGATCGTCCTGTAATAATAAGCAGTACCTAAATGAATTAATTTTTAAAAATAGTTCGAGATCATCAGCAAAGAGAAGGAAATGGCAGTTAACAAGTAAACTTTTAATATCATTGATAAATAATGTGAATAACAAGGGAGATAAACATACTGTTAAACATACTACAATAAACACTGTATCAATCAAATCCTTTGAAAACCATCAGGGAAAATTAGATTTATTATAGTTAACACGTGGAACCCAGTGAAGAATAGAGAAGTGTAATGCATCATACAAAGTTGATGTTGCTGAATTAACGCCTAGTTGAGTAAAAGTATTCAACCAATTATAAGATAGGAAAAAATCTGAAATACGTTTATAATCTGCTTTCGTAAAATTAAAATATGATTCAACGGCACGAAAGAATGGATTTTTTTATTTGTTGGGTAATCAATAGCTAATGCAGGATAATATCGATCTTCAAGAACAATTGGATCGTGCACCATATTAACTTTAAAGAGATTCTTATTTGTAAATATAAGATCGGTAAACATTATAATTATCCAAACATAATTCAGAATCAAATATATCAGAATTAAGCCAGGTTTCTGTTAAAACAAGAAATACATAATTAAAGCTGGCAAGATTACACTTAAGAGTAAAAAATTTAGTCCTAAGCCACGACAGTTTTGGTAAAAACCAAACGGAACATTATCATTTGATGTAGTATAGCTAATTGTAGGTAAATCACGAGGACAAGACTTATTAATTTTAAAATTGTAGAAATCTAATATAAAAGTACTAAGAGTGGACTTGGCATTTATTATAAAAATATATATGCTCATGCAAACCTAGTGTACATGGCTGAATTATGAAAGTTGAGAAATTTGCTGAATCTCTGGTTGTCGATTGGTATGTTTTCACGGACCCGGTTTTTTAGAATTGATTTGACCACAGATGGAACACCATTTTCATAATATATACGTAGATTTGTTTCACCTTGAGCTATAAAAGACAACAGATCATTGTGACAAGCACGTAATAGTTGTCGTTCAAATTTGGTTTTATCCTTGACAAGATTAAAACCATTTTGAAATTGAGTACCTGACCGCTTAACCTGGTTGTATGGTACAGCAAAAATTGTGCTTCCTCTTTGTTAGAATATATTAGCTTAAGTGGGCGGGTAATACCTGGACGTGGTTTCCCAATCCGATTTGTTGGAAGGTAATTTCTAACCGGCAACAAAATATTTTTAATCATGGATTCATCATGTAGAACTCTCTCAGAACCAGTTAAAGAAGTAGACTCTAATACACCATAAGCAATCACATTGGAAGAACAACGATCTCGTTCAAATAGTTCTTACAAAACCTGGCTAGTGATTGTGGACGGGTTAGCAGACGAGTTGTTCTCTTTAAGACTACTAATTTTTGCCTTAAGTGAACCAATATCTCTTTTAAATATTATATTCTCTGCTTTGAGTTCACTCACTTGCTCAGAAACTTTTAATATTGCTGTTTTAAGTGTATTGAACTGCAAAGATTGCGAGTCAGAAAGTGCTTTATTGGAAGCGAGGACTTCAGCTTTGAAGAACAAAATAATTTGCATTAAATCTTCATTAGAAGTAGTACTTGAAGATCTCGTACTAACACCAGAACGGACAGCAACTTTTTTTAAAGTTACATTGGTTGCACCAGGAGAAGACATATTAGAAAAAGTACTCGGGGTTAAATTCTTCAAAGTAAGCCACTAGAGGTTAGTCTCTAACAAGTGGAAGAAGAAACTAGCTAATGTTTTAAAGCATATGCTAATAGTAGCAATATTATCAAAAAACAAATTATAAAAAAGATAGTACGACTTAATATACGAAAAGACGTAATTATTAAACTACTTATACTTGCATATAGCAAATCAACGAAGATTACCACGACGCACAATTGAACACAAAAATATACTTAATACTTTAAACAACAATTGTAAATAAATTATTTGTATATACCAATTGAAATTGTTATAAGGACTGTAAGTAATAAAATCTTTGTTATATTTTATAATTATATATTACATAACTAATACTAATTAGTAATTACTGTAAATAATTAGTAAATATGTAATGTGTATGTGATTTGTAATTGTAGCACCCCCAAGATTTGAACTCTAGTTGCGCCACTGGTCGGTACTTTAACAGGATTTTTATACCTGATTTTTCCACCTGACGTAACTTCATTATGGCTGAGGGAGCTAATAAGAGAGACAAGATGTTTGTTACTGTTAAAGCTCTCGTATGGCTACCCATCCAACAGCAAACGACGTACCTGAAAATCAGCGCTAAGATGGCGATTTAGTTATCCACTGCGCCTCGTTGTACGTTCATATAAAATTCATTTTAATGAAATTCAACGTTAACTATTATTTTTAAATTATTGTACAATTAATTGGATTCATAGGTTTACCATAACATAATATAAGTGTATTGCATAATATGTAATAAAAATTATATAATTATGCTTAAATAATTAAATATATTTTATTATTGAAATGTGTTAATTTAGACATGCATTTCTGATAGCTTTTGAACTTTTAAAGAAAAAAATTTAAAAATTAATTGAATTTATTTTGTTAACTGTATAAATAGTATTTAATAATTATGTAATTAAGTATTTAACTTACTAAAAATTGATAAAAAATAAATATTTTTAAAAATTCAAAAAATTTGTATTTAACAATTTGTTTAGCAAACTAATATTTAAAAAGAAAATTTTCTTGATGATGAATTTATATATTTAAGATATTACCCTTAAAAAAAAATTTGAACATTGTGAACCGAGCTATTAAAATTCTTTTTGGTGGACCTAGGACGCTCACATTCCGTAATCTGGCCCTGCCTTTATTAATTGAAATCTTATGATTACAATGGCTATTATAAAACGCACAAATATGTAAGAGAAATGCATGATTACTTATTTAGCTGTAATTTTAATAAATAAATCAAAATTATAATTTTGTATAAACTTAAGTCTGAGAGTAGTAGGGTTGGAAAACAAACCTTCATTACAAAAACTTAATTGTAATGTTATATTAAAAATAATACAGTAAACATTTTTGTCTTCAAAATCTCATTATAAATAATCTTATCTACATCCCTAGCATAAAGTATGGAACAAAATACGTTTGTTTAATATTGGCCTGGATCTTTAAGCCACTCACTAATATGTAAAGCTTAAAAGCTTAACGGTAATACCTAAAGTACCCACTATAATTTTTTTTTTATAAATCAACATTTTTTGAATTTTAAAATACTTTTTTTATAAAAAAGGGTAAGTTTTCAAAGAAACTATCATTCTTTTAATATTTACGAAAAAAATTGATTTTAACTCGTATATTTTTCAAAAAGTCAGAACAATTTTAAGTTAAAATAGTTTAAATAATATCAAAATTTTAATGTCGATTATTACAATTTTTAGAGTTCTTTTTACAAAAATTTCATCAAATAGCAAGAGTTATATTTTAAACTAGTCTTTAGTTGAAGAAACTTATAAACTTTAAGAAACATTTTATCTTTAAATAAAATATTAATTATTAATAATTAGGTAAAAATAAAAATTATCAATAAAATCAGAGAAATTTTATTGAAACATAGATAAGTTGAAAGAAATAATTAAAAAACAACAGTACTTATTTATAAATAACATGTAATCTAAACACAGAAATTTAAAATTTCATGGTTATGAAATAAGCATATATTGTCTAGTGTTAAATACAATATTAAAAGGTCTTATGCAATATTAATTTCAAGACAAATGGCAAATCAAACAATAGAATATTTTACTTAATAGAATTACGTAGTATTTTAAGTATATTTTTTATATACACTGTAGTTATAAAAAGCAATACAATTATAAATAGTTTAATATAATATTGTTAAATAATTCGCCAACACCTTACAATAAAATATAACTGTCATACAACATGATTAGTCTAAAAAGTATTTTACTATTAATTTTTTCTACAGACTACTTCAACCTGCTACTCAATTAAAGTAAAGAACAATATACTGTAGTACAATTTTTACTTCTTGTATATCATAATTCAGTCTATTGTAGTAACATGTAGTATATTTGAATGTATGACTCATTTGGGTATTTAATTTTGATGATTATGGTTGTAGAAAAATTTGGAGGCATTAGGATATCTATCAGGACTAAAATCAGGATGAGTGTCCAATCCAGACCTACCATAAGTTCTAATTCGTTCAGTGTAAGCATTTTGGACTGCAGAATCGGCACCCACACTAGCTGTTACTTCCTTGTTGATAGCCACACCAGCAGCTCCCATTGCTACTTCTAAATTTTCTATATGAAATATTGGTTAACAATTTTAAACAAATTTTTAATAAAAATATACAATATTACATACTTGATATTATTTGTGATAAAGAACCTTGTGGTTTAGAACTATTAACAATTTTACGTCGTTTATTTGGCATTCCTGACAAATATGCATCACTATATGGAGGTTGGGCCCCTTGACGTCTTTGACGCTGAGTATCTCTAGCTATTACTGGAACCCATTCCTGAAAAAAACAAATTTAATGTATTTTAATGTTTCAATTAAAAAATTAATTTTATTATTTTACCGGAGGAACACTATGGTGCCATTCTTGAGAACCAATTACCACTTCAGGTAAAGGATCATTAGATATGTCAACTGAATTTGAGTTGGATGATTGTTCTTCATTTGGCTATTCACATAAAGAAAAGACAAAGTAACATTGAATCAAAACTCACTAGTTTTCAACAGATTGAAATATTTTAGAATAATAATACTATCTTAAAAATGATTAATTACATAAATATTTCAATACTAATTATTTTTATATAAAAAAAATAATTAATACCTAATTTATGTGTAGCTACATTAAAATAATATATTTAGTACACTAATTGAAGAATTCTTTGTAAAAAGGATGTTTCTTTACTCATTTTAAAATATTTCTTTATTCTACTTAGAAGTTACAATAGGACAATACCTTCCTAGATACAAAAAGTCTTTTTTTTTTTGTATTTTCAATAACACTACTTTAATATTCAATTAAAAATTGAATAAGTTATTTAGTTTTAAATTCTTAAAAAATGACTTGGGGACTTATTCATAAATAAGATAAAATTTTTGTTTCATATAATACATGTAGTTATTACCCTTGATGACGACTGTACCTGACTGCTGCTTGCACTAGCTGGTACTATATAGTTACACACAGATGCAATACTTATTTGATAATCATTAATGGCATCCCAATATCGATCAATATTAATGCGCACATTATTCATGATGAGATTTTGCAAATTTGTTGGTAATGGTAAGGAACGCTATAGATAAAAAGTCAAAATAAATTATTTATTTATTTCAGAGAATATAATATACTAGAAAATTTGTATGTAACACTGCAATATAATGAATTATATTTTTATTATTCGCCAAAAAAACCAACAGTTTATTCATATAGTTTAGTTGGGAATTCCTAAATTATATTATAAAACCAAATCACAGAATTCATTTCATTTTCTTTTTAAGAAAATTTATTGGTTAATACCCAATTTTGAAAAAGTATTATATTAGCTTGAGCTATATAAATATCTAGATTGTAAGTATAAAATAAATTTTGATTTAAAGAATTATAGTATTTATTCTTAAATATAAGTGTAGCATACAATTTTTTTAATTTTTATTAGTTAAATAAAATAATTCAGTAATGGGAAAATTATTGTATAGTAAAAAAAAAATTTTCAAAAAAATTAAGAAATGGCAACAAGTTTTTATACTACCAGCACAAAATTTTACACTGTTAAAAAACTGATTACACAACAATGTCTTCAACAATAAGTCATCCTAAAATGATACTACTAGTTCAAAATGTATACTTGCAATGCATACATCTATATACTTAATTATTTAAATAATACCGAAAGAATTATAAAATTGCTTAAGAAATAAATAACTTACAAGAAGTGCACCAATATTCAATCTAAAAACTGAACGATTATTGCAACAGTAAGCTAGTAGTGATAGTAATCCTTGACAAAACAAACTTAAAGATGTTACTATATCATTAGAGGCACCTGCTCGATCTAAAATTATAAACATTTCGCATCAAATCTAAAATTACACATACATATGTCAATTTAAATTATTTTACTTTCTATGCAACAAATAACAATTCCACGTAGATTAAGTGTAATATATCTTAAAATAGTTGCACCAAAATCAACATTTGACCTCATTGTTGCAGAACATTGCTAATTTAATTTCAAAATACATTTGTCATAAAAATTAGTTAGCCTAGAAGTTTTACAAAAACAATATTATAAATATACTTACAATAACATTAATATATGGTAACAATTCTTGATAAATACGATTAGCTGCATCTTCTATATTTTGATTACTAGGTGTTTGATTAAACATAATGCGGTCCAGAATAAAATTTGTTAATGTTTCAGTGTATCTAGAAACTGGATGTTGAATAATGGAAGATGTTTCAGAAGTAGTATTCAGATACAACACATCATGAAGAGTCCAATCTTGAGCAATTGTCAATAAAATATCCATCAAAACAGATCGACCTTCTAAACCACTAAAAAATGGTATTGATCCAATACGTCTGGATAAATATTCATCACGGCCAATTTGTGAAACATTTGTGTTAATTGACTCAAGTCCCTAATAAAATATTATTATTAAAAGAAAAAATTGACAAAATTATAAAATCTTACTTGTAAAAGAGATCCAATAACAGCAGCACCATTATTAATTGCAGCCGACTATAATACAAAATATAAATTAAAATCAAAACTTCTCTAAGGTGTTAATAATTTACCTGTCCAGATATATTAGCGCCTTGTCCATTCAAATCACGAGACCTATCAATAAAAGCTTCTCTTTCTAACAACATTTCCATACCTTCTCCTGATAATAATATTACATTTTTTATTTTAAATTTATAATTTACAATTAAAAAAAATTAGTTTAGCACACAAAAACAATTATAATTGAAAAAATTAACATAATACAATTACTTATATGTCCAGCTAGTGTATTTGCAGTGGTAGTACCACTATCTTGTGAAGTTGTTTGAGCTGTGTTATTTGCTGACGTAATAGTGACGACATTATTGCGATTTCTTCCCCAAGTTAATATTGGATGAATACCTGATAAATAACCATCTGGATCTTGAATATACCTATTACGAGACCTGGAAAGTCTACCAGTAAATGGTCTCATCTCACTTGGTGAAGTAGGAGCTGATGTAGTATTAGTTGTAGAGTTATTAGAAACAGTAGACCTATCACTTGCTCTAGTTGGACGTCTAGCAAGAACCATTGATCTTAAATGTGATTCAAAATGATGTGAACTACAAGGTAAATAAGGATCCATACGAGGACTATTATCTCTTCCTTGGAATATTCCTGTAGAAACAAAATAATATTTATATTAGAGTACTTCAAAATACCATCGAAACAGTTTTCATAATGTTATAACCACCAAAAAAAAATGTGTAACAACACATAATTTCAAACGAAATAAAACATAACCACAAACCAGTGTTTCTCTATAAAAACTATAAGAGGGAAATCCTCATATATTAGCAATGACGGGTTAATTTCCTAATAAGGTAAAAAAATTATAAATAACATTTGAATACTAAAAAACATTAAACATAAAAAATAGTAAACAGTTATAACACTTCTTATACATATAAATGGATTAAATTTAATATAAAAGGGTAAAAAAAACTGTCACTTCGACTCACTACTCCTTCACTTAATGATCTTTCAATAAATGTAAGAAGTGGCTTGGCATACATTATGGATTTATAAAAAAATTGAAATATATTTATTTTCAACCTTGCTTCCAACATCACGAAGGTAAACTTACAATTCACAGAAGATTTATAAGGTTTTAAGTTAAGTATAAAGAGTACATAAATTAAGTAGGGATTAAAAAAAAACAAGTGATTACTAGAATAAAATATTATTTAAATAAATAATATTGATAACGTTTAAAAGAAGTAAATCAGCCTAGTCCAATCTTTAAGTGTGTTTCCTGTGTGGTCAATACAAATAAAGACTCTCTTATTAATATAGAGAACCCACATGTGGTTCCTATACTATTCAAGGTATTTATTAACATGACTCACAGTCAGCACAAGCTTAGATAACTACTGGTACGAGTGGCGTTATTGATATTTAATGTTTGATAATGAATCATTTAAATTATTTAAAATAATAATTTTTAATTCAAATTATTATTATATAAATAAATTTTCAAACATCACTTTGTTTTTCTATATTTTATATCTATTCATAAAACTTACGTATTGATACCTGAGAGAAAATTATATTATTTTATTTAATAAATATATAGTAACTCAATCATTCTCATGCTCATACAGAACCACCCTAAATTTATATTTCATTTTGAATTACTATAGTCTTAACTGTCATAACATAAAAACAAAATAAAAAATTCTGATTTAAAATTTGCCCTTATATGATAAAAATTCAATGCTAATAAAAATGTAGTTTGGAAATCACAATATGAGGCACCTATAAATATATTACATTGCAATGTTTAACCCATTCAGTCTGATATGTGTACAAATTTTTTTTTTTTTTTTGTACCATAGTTTTGAAGTTTAGCCGACCCTAAGTAGCTGGGATTAAGGTGAGGAAAAAGAAGAAGACCATAGTTTTGAAGTTAGAACAATACTTTTAACAACAAAAGATGTTAAATAATGTAAGCAAAAAAATCAAATATATATTTTTTTTAAGTTTAAAATTTAAAAGTAATAGTAGATTTTTCAGGAAATTGTTTTTTATCCTATCCTAAGATCACCAATCAATAAAAAATTGATATTGAGTCATTATAACAAAAATTTAAGTCAGGTCTCAAAAGCTAAATAATATCATCTCATAAAAAATAATCCAATGATTTCATACATAACCAACCTTGAGAAGGAGAGTTTGAGGTTGAAGATGAATCAGTTGTTCTTGGAGTGACTCGAGGAGTACGAGTAGAAGTTGTTGGTATGCTACTCCAGTCTAAAGTTTGATCTGACATAAATGGGCGTCGTACACCACTTGATATAACATCTATCATTTGATCCATCCAGTCAATAGACATACCCATATTGTTCGTTAGTTCACCACTAGTAGTTGTTTCTAAAATAAATTATCTTCATAGTTTTATTAACAATTAAATGTATAGATAAATGTTTAATTGAATTATAAAACTATAGGAAATATACAAAAAAAAATATTTAAAATTAATAAAGTCTTTTAAACTACTTGTAATTATAATTGTATAATAGTAAATGGGACATTTTTTTATGTAAGCTTGCCAAGTATTTAAAACAAAATCCAATTAAAGATAAGAAACTCACTATATTCTTAACCGAGTTTAAAAGAAGTATACTGTACATAAAAATTCATTAAATATGAAAAAAAAATTTTAATAATTTAAATATCAATTTGTTTACCAAAAACAGTTTTGCACATCTTTAATAGAAAACCATTTTATTTATAAAACTTACGTGATGTAGCTGTAGGATGATTATTACTAGCAACATTAGGTGCTACAAATGCAGCTTCAACAGAATCAATTCGAATACTTCCAGGTGTAAGATCAAACATCAATTCAACACTATGTGGAGTCCCAGTAGGATAATCTGATAATGTATTGTTACTTTCAGTATTTGACTCAGTTGTTGTATTTGTATTTGATTCATTATTAATTTCATTATTGGAAACTGAAGTCGAAACATTAACTGGTTCAGCAGCTACCCCGTCAGGATTCATAACTAAAATATAACATTTTTAATTCAAATTATAGTAGTCATTTTTAACTTGAATGAGACTACTAGTCTTTAACCAATTTTAGTAAAGCATCATTATATACTTACAATCAAGTCTAAATGCCCGTACACTAGGAATTGACTGATTGGCGTTAGTTGTTTGAGTAGAGCTTGGCTGTTGAGTAGGTGGTGGTACTGTAGCCATTGGAATTGTATGAGCTGTATGTAAAATACCCCTTTGTAAAAGACAAGTACGTGATTGAAATGGACGTGGAGGAGGCCTATTAAATGATATTTTTAAATCACTTATAGCATGATATATATGAGATTTATAATGCATAACTTCTGATACACTATTAAACACATTTTGTGCTCGATCAGAACCATTTTCACCCTATAACACACATTTGTGATAAATGTAAAATCAATGATACAATGAATTGTTAACATTTAATTAATAACTTACATCAGCTGATTCAAATTCGGGATCATCAGTAATAAATTGACAATAAAGAATATAAAATGGTTGTAATCTAACATTAAGTTTATTGAGTTCATCAATTAATTTCTTAAATCGACGCCTTTCCATAATATTTGATGGAGATCTATTATCGCTATTTTGATGATCATCTCTGTAGTAAAATAAAATACAATTTAAAATTCGTATACCATCGTAAAGTCATTTTATAAATAATTTTCAAACCTAGAATTGCGATCAGTAGCAGAAGTTGAATTACTTGTAGTTTGTTGAGATTGTGTTTGGCTAACTGATGGAGTTTGAATATTTAAAGGATTTGATGCAGTTTCATTATCTGTAAAAAAAAATAACATATATAAATAAAAAACATAAACTACAAATTATAATAATGATTAAAGAATTTTAGAAAATCTTAATAAAATTAATAGTTTAAAAATATTTTACTTTGTTCAGAAGAATCTTGAGAGCCTGATTGAGCAGCATCAGAATGTAGCTGATTTTGCATATGATGCATTAATCCTGATGGCATTCTAACATGATGTGTAGCATCAATAGTAACAACAACTGTATTAGGATATGAATCGTCAACTTCATAACTCCTATAGAAAAAAAATATGTTAAAATATAAATGTCATTCAATAACTAATATTTTACGTGTATGGTAAAGCAAAATAATTTAATAAACTTACACATTCACCGAATCCTGGTCTGGTTGTGAAGTAGCTGGAGGTGGAACTTGCATAGTTTCACCTAGGGTTTCTTCTTGAGTATTTTCTTCTGAGAATTGATCTGGCTGTTCTATATCTTCCATAGGAATTTGCTCATTTTGACTAGCTAAAGGATTTTCTAGTCGATCCAAAATTTCATTGCATTTGCGAATCATATCCATGGCCATTGACATTCTATTACTAGTACCATGATTTCTATTACTCATGGGGCGTGGTATCTCTAAACAGAAAAGTTAAAAAATAAATAACATAGTTAAGTAAATGTTGTACACCATTCTGCATACAAGAAAAAAAAAATCAAGTATAATGCATTACTAATAATTTCTGTGATTCTTTTACAACTAGCCACTTAATTTCTCTTAAAATAATAATTTTTTTTGGCTTTTGTTAATTACATATTTATCTTCATTTATGTGTTATGAAATATTTTTTATGTTTATCTCTTATATCTTATAGGAAGGTCAACTTTATTTTTTTAATGGAAATATACATATTAAAAATTATGTAATTAAGAAAATAACTGGTCGATAACAACTTTTAGAGGAGTCTTTCAAAAGTTATTAACAATTTAAAGTAATGACTGGAGGTAAGGAGTAGGTACTGCTATTTTTATCACTACATATTTCTTGGCCTCACACCTAGGCATAAAAATGTTAATAAATATGTTAGTAAATGACTGGTCAATAACAACTAAGTTGTTATTGACCAGTCACTTACTTAATTACATAAATTTCTATTTTATGGGTTAGTTAAATATGTATATTTCTATTAAAAAAAATAAAGAAGACACCTTTAAGACATAAGGGATGAACATAAAACATATTTTATAATAGATTAATTAAGATACATATGTAACTAATACAAGCCAAAAAAAATCTTAAAAAAAAATTGTTTTAAGAGAAATTGAGTGGCTAGTATTAAAAGAATCACCCTGTATTTTATTAAACATAGGTATTTACAGAGAAGGAAATTTAGACATCCTTAACAGTAAATCCTTTTGATATTTTTATACCTTATCATTTTTGAGAAAACTCAAAGTAAGGTAAGAGTACTCATTATGAACACCTCAGTGTAGAAATTTGAAAATTGATCAATAGATCATTATCTGTACCACTTATATTTGGAACAAATTAATTATTATAATCAAAATGATTATTTAGGGGTCTAAGCATACTTAAATTCTTAAGTTAAGTGTTAAAATATTCCTTAAGTTATTCACTAACATATTATAAAGTATCACTTGAAAAAGTTAAAATAAATTCAGACAATATTTTATTAATAATAAAATATAACTTCAGTACATACCCCTCACATGCATAAAATCTGAAGGAATTCCGATAGCCCCGAAAACTACAGTAGGATCTGGTGTATGCCATCCTGCAAAGCGTGAACCACCATTTTGTCCTGAACGACTATTTGTATTAGTTGTTGTCGATGATGTTGATGTTCCAGAAGTTGAACTTGCTAAACGTGGAACTTTTTGAACAAGATGCATTACTTTGCCATCAATACCTAAGGTTAAATTAACGAATAAAATAAATCACATAAATAATTTAATAAATAAGTGATTGCTTAAGTATTACAATCAACTTAAAAATATCTAAAAATTAAATAACTGCAAAAACTTTTTAATAAGAAAAATATTTATTAAAACAATTCTTTCACATTTATTTGAAAAATATATATATGATCAAAATATTAGAATTAAATTTAATCATTTACCTATATCAGCAAGTTTAGTTTCATTACTAAGAACACGTCCACAAAATATCAACCTTTGTTGTACTACTTCAACATTTACTTCTTCAGCTATATGCTCTTTCAGTTCAAGAATAGTATACTGTTGGAAAAAAATTTATTTAGACAATTTCTTAAACATTAAAATTATGAACTTACGTTGTCTGGAACTGTGAACTTATGATTACGTGAATCTAAAGTTTTTATTGTTAAATCAATCATTTTGAATGATTTCTAAAAAAAAAAAAAATAATAATAATGATATTGATATAAATTTTACAACTGAATAAAAGTCACCTTTAAATAATGGACTAAAAAAAATAAGAAATAAAAATGATATGCAACAGACTGCTGTTCCTTTATTAATCGCGATGACAACGATGTAATATATTATACTGTATTTGTTATTCAATCATTATTCTGTAGAAGATTCTCGATTTGCGTCGAGCTAAACCAAATTATCGAACACTCATCCAAACTTCCAATTCAGTAAAACTAAAAATTATAAAGTAAAAGTTAATACCAAATAAAAATGTATTTCTCTAGGATTATGAATACTAGTATTGAGTAGTAAGCACGAAAATGACGAAACTACAGTGATAATTCATGGAAGAACAACACACTATGCCTCAAAAATTCAGACAATTAAATCAGCTGTCTGGTTAGAATTTACCCGGAAATTATTTTATAGCTTTAACGATGGATTTATGAGAATCTTTTGCAATTTTTTACGGCAAATTAACAAATTAACATTTCACAAAATATGCATCGAACTTACTTCGAATAAGTTTTACTAGAGGTATAGAAAAATGATATTTAATCATTAAATATTAAAATGTTTTATCTATTCATAGTTTGAATGTATACAAATTTAAAGATTTAACCAATATCTCTTTTGTAGAGAAAAACTGAAGCAAATTTTCCAAGAGTGTAAAATTTTCTTGAAGACTTTTCACCCAAAATTAAATTTTGTCTACGTACATAATGCCTGTTCCTACAGTATCAACTTTCAGTCAGTTATGAAAAAAATACATATTAAAGAAAATTAAATAGGTATATATGATCCGAGTAATAAATTCTGTACTAACCGAGTACCAAGTAAAAGCCGGATAGTCAAATTTTTTATCAATAATGTAATAATAATTTAAAAATATTAAATTTCTAACATACTCTACTCATTTAAGTTAAAACCAAAATATAGGCGTAAGGTAGAAGAGTTAAACTCCGCAAATTCACATTTTACTTCCATAAAAATTTAAAAAATTATATGTATTTTAAAAAAATATATATTTTTTAAGAAGGAAGAAAATGACATTTGACTTTATATGTCAGGAGAAAATTAAACTATTCTATATATGCATGTAAATTGTCTATTATAAAATATTTGTTGAAATAATTTCGCTTAAAATCTTATTCTAATATTTTTTAACTACTAATTGAAATAATAGCTGTATTGCTATGAACATATTCTAATCGAATCTCATTACAGTATATTAAATTAAAAAACATTTTTATTATTTTATAAAACATTTAATACAACACACACTTCCTATAAGCCCTACTTGCACTGAGCGACAACAAGAAAATCAATATTTGCAGGTGTAATACATACAAATTTTTACAGGTGTCATTTAACCGGCAATTTATATACTCAATCAATTTTTGAGATTTTCGGAAGGTAAAATAACTAGCATTTTTATCTATTCCATAATTAAAAATTAAACGATTATAGATATGATAATAATAACAAAGCACTGGGCTATGACATAGAGTTATATTACTCTATAGTCGAGGGCTATATACCATAGTATATACTATGGTATATACTATGATAGTATATAGTATATAAATNTTATCTATTCCATAATTAAAAATTAAACGATTATAGATATGATAATAATAACAAAGCACTGGGCTATGACATAGAGTTATATTACTCTATAGTCGAGGGCTATATACCATAGTATATACTATGGTATATTAAAAAAATACTCGCTCATTTATTAATAACATTTCATTATTTGTTTGAGATATGTATACTAAAATTTTGGTTTGATAATTGGAAACATTCTACCAAAATAATATATATATATTTTAGCTTCGATGCGAAGTTGAGAAGAAATTAATTTTATTGTTTTTTTTTGTCTTTCGCCACTTCGTATCGAGTTGAAGACATTCCCCTTAAATTTGAAAAAAATTTCCTCGTTCCCTGTAAATGGAGGAAATCCCCCAAAAAATTACAATTTTTAAGTACAGTAAATTTTGACATTTTTTTTTTTTTTAATTGCCATAACTTTTTGTAAAATGAACATACCAAAATAGTTTTTTTATGTAGAAACCTTAGGTATACCCCTTTCATCCGACATACTTGTTTTTTAAATCAGACAATTTACCCTTATACAAGGAGCGTTCAAAACTTGAAAAATACATAAAAAATAGAACTTTTGAAAATTTTCCGGAAATATTGCGGCCTTCAAAAATATGTTAAATTAAAGTTTATGTTACGTACTATAAATAAAAAAAACAAAATTTGTCCCAACGACTTATCTTCTATGTGCAAATGATAGTCAAAGTTGAACCAAAAATAGTAATTAATTTTGCTTTTGGAATAATCCACCAATTTCTTAAAATTAAACAATACAGATTTGCATCGAAGCGTGTCTTATGATTGTGTTTTTAAGCACTGTCAGATAATATCTACACTTGTCCTAACTATGCCACGTCCATACTGTTTCGCGATTTCACTGTGCTACCGTTTTCTTTTTTTATTTAAAAAAAATAGTCAAGCATTTATTACATTGAACAAGATATATAATAATTAGTGTATCAGAAAATTCCTATAAATTTATTAGCATTGTTAAAAATATAATTTAGTACATTATTGTGCTCATTAACACCTTTTTTCTTTAACGGGTTAAAAAAATAAATGTTATCTTTAACTTAAGTTTAGTGAATTTTTAAAGTAGTACGTGATATTAACTTGTGTATATTTTCAATTTAATAACTTATAACTTAGTTAACCAAATCTAAATTTATTTTTATATACTTGTAATATACAAAAAAGTAACGTGTTAAATTAAGTTATAATTGTGTTAATAATTAATTAGATTAAGTTAACATATCAACTTAATTTTTACCATTTAACCCGTAAATGATCAGCTTTGTTATATTCCAAATTAAATTTATATTTTAATTTCTAAAACGATTTAAATAATAATTTTGTTACGTAATTGTATAGATTTTTATTTAAATTACAACTTGGTTTCCTGCACTGAAAAAGTTACACATAAAGTCTTATGATTACTAATGATAACATAATTTTCATTACAGCCAGTTTGTGATTATCACTTACGTTACTGATAAAATTTTAATAAATACGATCGTGGATAATATACCATAATTTTTCTCAATGATATTCGATAATACTAGGTCAAGTTAATGTTTTTTTTTACAATGTTGACGGTTCCTTAAAATATAACCAGTTTTTATCTTAAGATGGCTACGAATAATGCAGGACTTGATACAGTTAAAGAAGAAACTTTGTTACTTGAACGTCTAATTGCTCTAAAAAGTATGTTTAATACTTTATAAAATGTAATTGTCTATATTTATTTAGGTCTTAACATTGTGATGAAGTAATTTTGTAGTTTGTATTATGTGAATATTTGTTAACCCGAAATGAATTATAATAATGTTTTTTTTCTTATTTTAATAAATGAATTTTGTTTTAAAAATGAAAGCATTATTGACCTTGAAATTTTAACTAAAATAATTTTTTTTGATTTTTTGTAAAAATTACCAATTTACATACCTAGGAGAACATGGGGCAAAATGAGTACACATGGTAAACTAAGACAGCTTATTTTCTCAATACACAGCAAACAGAATATTTTAAAACATCTAATTAAAATAGATTTTATAAAGTATGAGAAAAATATAATAATAATTATTTTCTTTAACTATTAGGTTGGTTAATGTTAGGCAATTTTTAAAGATGTATCTTGGGGACTTATTAAAAACAATATTTTCCCCACTTTCCTTCTATACTAGGTAAACTAATGTTTGTATTGTAAGATTTACTGGAATTCATTGTACGGGTGTTTCAAAAATGTAGGTTTTAGAGGGGTTGATTTTACCTTACATTGAATTAACTAGATTTTTTATACCAATTGTCAACCTAATGCAACCTTATTATGGTTAAAAAAGCTAGTAAAGTGAAAGGTATATGTCATTTTAAGTTCCTGTTTGGTCATCCATCAGAAAACCAACATCCTATAGTACAGCTGAACATCAGCATTAAAGCAGCAAATGAATAATCCACTGCGTCACACCATACCCCTCTATTATAAATTATATTTATTTAGTTTAATTAAAAATTAAATTATTTAATATTATTCCTTCATAATTAATAGATTTAAATTGATAAGTTTAATTTACAGTAGTATGAAAATATATATAAAATATAAAAAAGAATTTATTTTGAAAAATCTAATAATTTTTAACTTACTAAATATTGCGGGTTCCTATTTTTAAAATAATTTATACATTCTTGTATAAATGACTATGTTAAAATCATATTTATTTATTTTTTATGTATAATAAAATAAATAGTTTTTTTTTTTTAATTTCAACTAAGTTGATTTTAAGAGGTTTTTGCAAATATTTGAATGAGTAAATAACATGTTTAGTATGTCTATTTATTGAGTTTCAATCACTTTAATATTAAAAGTAAGTAAGCAGCAAAAGTGGGTACATATTGTACTGATGCATATTTATAATTCATACTTCCCTTGCACTTCATATCCACTTAACATATATTAACAAAACAGGACATTTAACATTTTTTTTAATTTGTAGTTTTTAATATATAAAATAACATTTCAATAAAATTTTCAGTAGCAAATATCTTAAATTTTAATTTAGTTTTTGTTTTATTTGAAAAAAGTTAGAATTAATTATACATATTAATTTTAATATTATGTGTTTCAACTGTTCAGTAGCAATTATGAAAGGCATCCATAACAAAATAAAACTCATGTCTAAATAATAGTGTAAGAGGTGATTTGGGCAGCGACGTATTTATATGCAGGCAATATAGGCAGCAGCATATTTTATAGGGCTGCAAATATTGAAGGCCAACACATTTATAAAAAGCGAGTTATTATAACATATTGACTTCCTAATAGTTATAATCAATTTCATTTATTGTGTATTTATGATATGTATATTAATAGCTAAAGCAATTTATTTTATGATTTATTATTAAACATAGATTTGCTTGAAAAATATTTTTAAATACTTTTATTTGAGGAATTAGTGTTATGGCAAAAATATATATAAATGAGGCCTTTTTAAATGCCTATAGGTAAAAAATATGTAAAATAAAACTGTTCTTGGACCACATCTAGTAGCCTTCCAACTTGGATCATATCTTCTACTAAACAAATTTTAGTTGCTTCACTAAAAAAACATATGGGAGAAACAAAAAATTCTTCATTAATAAATTTAAAAATCTGAAAATAAAATTCTCAAAATTATTATTATTTAAGTAACATAATTATATTTTTACGCAATAAAAATATAGTATGATATATATTACATACATTTATTGTAATATTTTTTTATAAAATCTCATTTTGAAAATTTCACATTACGTTTAACTTGTATAATATATCTTATTATAATGTACTTTTTTAATATAAAATTGTTATATTCTCCGTTGAATTACTGAAAATATTTTTGCCTGTGTACTTTTAATTTATACCTTATACTAAAAAAATCAATCTTCTGATTTTGTATTATTTAATATAATTATAAAATACACTCATTATAAGTTTAATTTGTTCTTGCAAAAAGACCTTCATAAATATATAAAATATTAATGGACTTGAATAAATTAAAATTATGTATATGATTTGACTATATAAATCTTATTAAAAATTCAATTTTTTTTTTTTTTTTTTTTATAGAGCAGCTTGATGATGATGGAACAGACACACAGAAAAACCAAAATCATAGAGAAAATAATATTACTAATAGTAATATAATTTCTTCCAAGTTTAAGTATCGCAAAATCAATAATTTCAAAACCAATGCATTTATTCCAACACAGACAAATAAAACTAGTTATTTAATTAATATAAATAATACCAAACCCAATGGTCATACAAATCATAATAAGAGTAATTCAAATGTTTTATATTCTCAAAACAATTCTATGACTTCTAATGTATTTATTAAACCTAATACAGAAAGTGTTACACATGGAAAAACTATACTTAATGAAAAAAACTCTAATACACTTGATAATTTTAATCATTTAAATGGCAATCATTGTATTAAAAAATGTAGCATTAATCAAATTTTAAAAAAAGGCAACTTTCATGGAAATTTTTTGCCATTTGATGATTCTTATCCACATGTGAATATTTCTCAAATAGTTATTAATATTGATAATTACTTAAATAATGTATATTCTTATATGGATGCATCTCATTACATTCTTGAAAAAAAAAGTGAATATAATTTAAGATTAAATAATCCTTTGAAAAATTATCATTCAAAGAATGTGTATGTAAATAGAAAATTTCAAAGTAAATTTTCTGGAAATATATTGAAACCAATTGTAAAAAAACAATTAATACCAGTTAAGAAAGGTCTTCCCAGCAAAAGAACTGTTTCTAAAATATCTAACAAACTAAATGATTCACAGACTCATGTGAAGATAGGTAAAACAAAATTGATAAAAAAGTCATTAATAAATAGTAATAAATATAAATTAAACAATACTTCCATTTTACTGTGTAAAAAAACTCTTCAAAAGCCATTTACTTATAATATATCAATTAATAAATCAATTTCTTCCACTCAATCTTTTGATGAAAATATTGAAAACGAATCAATGAACATAAATGAAAATACTAAAACAAAGTTCAATACTAATAAGTTAAAGTGGACCAGACCAAATATTTTGATGGTAAATAATTTCAATAGACTTGCAGAATCTCCTAAATCTGACAAACTCATTTTATTTGGAAGTAATAAAATAATTCGACAGTCACTTATAAGTTCTGCACAATCAAAAACAAACATATATTTGTCTAAACATCTTTCTCATAGATTTGCATTAATAAGAAAATTACAACTAAAAAATAGTAATAAAAAAAAAATAACACAATTAAATTGTGAACAAAAAAATAAAAATACTACACTTTGTAAAAAAAAGATGTCAGATTTGCTTGAAAAAAATTCTAAAAGGAAGAATACTATATACTCTTATATAAATCCAAACTTAAGGTCAGTAAATTAAAAATAATATTTATTATCCTATTTCAACATTTAATGATTATTTTTTTAATAAATAAGAACTGTCAATTTTAGTATCATTGCAGAAAAAGTTAAATTTCCAATTAATACGTTAAAAAAATTACCCACTGGCTTAACTCATAATATCCATCACATGAAAAATTTAGTTTTACCTGAGGATAAATTACCTCCTAAGAGTCATATGATAAATTCTGATAAATTCTCGTAAATATCCAAATACTTTCATATTTTGATTATTATAACTTTAATTTATATTTAAATTTCAGATTGAATAAAAAAGCACTCTCAAAACAATTATGTATAGTATTTAATCGTTTGGGAATTTGTTCTAAGTTGATTGATGGACAGTGTGATAAACGACATTATAAAAAATACATTGCATTATGCACAAAGTTTGCTATATACTTATTATTTATATCTTGAGATAGAAGTTTTAGTGTAACTTTTTTAGATATTTGTCTGGAGATTGTTCTGGTAAAAATTGTTTACTATCACATAATATAGTTAAAGAAAAAATCCCTTTTTGTAAACATTATTTGAGTGGTGTCTGTGTTCAGTTAAATTGCCAGTATTTACATGAATATAGAAAACCAGGTACTCCAATATGCAAGAAATTTTTACATGGTTATTGTATTCTAGGAATTAAAGTATGATATAATAAATTTTAAAATTATGAATGTTTTTAAAATTTTTGTTAAGCTATTAATAATTTGGAATTTTTACTATATTTCAAGTGTCCTAAAAACCATTTAAATATTTGTCCAATTTTTGAAACAAAAAATAAATGTCCACATGGTCAGAAATGTTTATATCCTCATGAAAAAAATGTTGAAAAAGTGAAAAATGATGCTGACAATAATGAACTTAGATATTTTGAAACGTCAATTCCAAAAGTAACAGAAATTAGTGGCAATAACAATCAAATTGTCCCTAAGCGTCATGCTCCTTTACTAGATTTACCATCGTATATACCATTAAACTAACAGGTTTGTATTGAATTTCATTTTGTTATATTTTAGCTACCATATTATCTAAAATTTTCATACATTTTTTTTGTCATTTTCAATAAATTACCTTGTAATTTACTGTAAAAGCCACTTTTTTGGTTATTTTATATTATTTTAATTTTAAATAATATAGCTTAGTTCTTAATAATGAAACATAGAATTACTCTACAATTATTAGTTAATTAGGCATATCTATACTAAACTTGTAACCTTAATTAATTGCTAAAAATACCCATGATGATTTCTATAATTTTATTTAGACAATTTTAATTACATATATTTCTCTAAGAATTATTTCTTACACCTACATAGCTTTATAGTACAACCCAACAAAAAAATGATCAAAAGTAAAACAACATTCCAATGAAATATTTTCATCTAATCTCAATATTCTATCTATATCATAACAATATAGAACCAATATTTAACTACAAATTGCATTATTTTTATATAGTTATATAATTTTTATATAATGCTACAGGTAGCTAAAATTTATAATTAATACTTCAGTTAATAATATAATTCAGCTATAATTGTTTAATTCTAATCAGGGCTTGTTTACGATATATTTACTGTCAAGTACTATTAATATTAAAATATCAGTTTATTTATGGTAAAATATCTCTAAATACATTTTTAATTTATTATGCACAACCTGAACTCATTCAATGTGACATTTTTTTTTTTTTTTTTTTTT